AGCCTAGTAGGCACGCAAGCAGTTCAAGATCACCATGTCACTCATTATAAACTACAAGGTCATCCCTCATTAAAGTGTATCTGAACCCCCTAATCAAAACTTTGTATGTTGCAGCTTACCTCTTTCATTATTTGAAGTGGTATTAAACTTTCAACTTTTTTTAAATATTGCCCAAGGACCTTTAAATCATCATGTTTCCAAACAGCTGACTCCAACTCCCTCAGCTCAGCTTCCCTGAACTTCCTGTCCAGTACATGATCACGTTACAGAACAGTCTCCAGCAGTGGACAATCTACATAATCAGAGAGGGGAGATGTGAGGAAGGAAGATCAGGGAGTGCCTTGCCTTGCTGTGTCTGTATGTTTGTGGAACATATACGGATGCCCTGCTGCACTCCTTACCGGATATCCCAATGAAAGATGGGTGCCGGAATGACAGCAGATGGCGCCGATTGGAAAAGAACATGGCCATAATGTCACCAGCACACCATAGTAAAGTGTGCAAAGAAATGTCTGTTTTTATTGACACATATCACTTGTAAACTTGAGACACACAGCTTACTAGCGCTCACAAGGGTGGCTCTATAAGACCCTGCAAGGGAAAGGAGCCACCCTAAAACAGGATACAGAGGCCAGTGCTCAGGAGACCCGCTGATTCTGCAGGAAACTAAAACTTTTAAAACATCAAGAAGCAACACCCATTGTAAGCGATTTTATCAGAATTTGAAAAAGCTTAAAAAAAACATTTGACTTTAATATCACTATGTTTTTTTATTCACCTGGTGATCTTGCAAGTAACTCACTTAATGTCCTAGTTGACAACATTTATTCGCTGCACTAGGTCTGTGGAGGAGCAGTATTGTCACCCTGGGCTGCTCTCCTGATTTACACTATAAACACCTCGTTTCTCCTTTACATATGGGGAAGGTGTTCTGCAGTTGTTTGTATTATCTGTACTTACAGAAAATGTGTGTGGCCTGAAAAGAACAAACTAATGCAGCCACCACATCTAAGAGCTGGTAAGCTGCAATATTACATTTTTGTGTTCTTGAGTTTAGATATGCACTGCTGTTGCACAAAGCTATTGATTTGATCCATTTGCAGTCAGTGGAAGCAGCAGGACTGTGCAACAACAAAGCTAAGGTTACCTTGGTGTACGTAGTCAGCGTGAATGATTTTCTTTACAGACTGGATGGCCGGTAACTGGAGGTTAGGTCTCAAACGTGCTTCTCAGTAGCATTTTTAGATAACAATTCTGAAAAAAGAAGATGGGAGGAATCAATTACAAATAACTAAAGAACGTTACCCAACAACATACCGTATTTGCCGGCGTATAAGGCGACTGGGTGTATAAGACGACCCCCTAATTTTCCACTTAAAACATAGGTTTTGGGCAAAACTCGTCATATAAGACTACCCCACTTCCGAGGCAACACCCTTTAAAAACATCATGGATGGATGTGCAGTAATACTGTATGTACGGTATCTTCAGCTACATACAATTTACTGCGCTGAGCCGATCACGGCGAGCAATGTATTCTATTAATGAATACAAAGCTTGCTTGGATTGGCAGAGGTTGTGTACATCGCTCGCCGTGATTGGCTCAGCACGGTATACTGTATGTAGCCGAAGCAACCGTACATACATTATTACCGAACATCCAGCGGGCTGACAGATTAGGGATGTTCGTTTTGGGCCAGCTTGGCCCAAATGAACTTAAGGTATACATTGTATACCCTGCGTATAAGACGACCCCCGATTTTCGGGGGATGTTTTTAAAGGAGAACTATGGGGTCAGATTCAAATACAGTATTTTTTCATTTTGGATGGATTAGGGAAGGGTTAAAACCCCGGCTCTACCATTATAGAAAAAGACACTATGAAATGAGTGTCCAATTACTCACCATCGATGGTCAGACATAAACTCAACTACTTGCATTAACTTCTCCTCATAAGTGGTAAGCTTGGATGACTGGGATGGCCCACCATCTGTACTCATTGCATGATTGCACCGGCTGCCTTTTTTCTACGTAGATATCTGTGAAAACAGCAAAGAGAATATTTCTAACATGTAGAATATTTTTGTATCTGTTGTATAGAGAAATATGTAAATAATGGAATTCTAATTACCTTTATATATCTGAGGTTCTTCCCTGGCAGTGGTGTCTTCAGATCATTTGCTGCTACTAATGGCATCCACTGTGGTAATCATACCATTCCGGACATTTTTTGCTCTTTATTTATTCTTGACATAAATATGATGTCTTTTGTTACAAGTTACCCAAAGATAAGTGGCCAGTATTGAACCGCTGAGCCACGTAGGCAGAAGTGGATCTCGGCATCGCCTTTGGAGTCTGAAGTTAAGGACAGCGTTTGGTTCACTTGGGAAACCAACCATGTCTACGCATGTGCCCTTACCAAGGCCTTGCCCGTGCATTCTCACATTGACTCGCCCATGCCCAGATATTACTTCACCTGCGCAAGCCAGATCCTGCAGAAAGCCTAATCTCAAGTGCTGCAAGCAAATTAGTCTACCGTGCCGCTCACTCTCTTAGGCTCTGTTCATGCCCAAGCATCAATGTTTCGAAGGCTTTTATAAAGTGTTTTGAGCATGTTGGTCAAGCTTTTTTAAGTGATTTTCAAAGCATTTTTTGTGTTTCAGCCTCCATTTTGATCCTCGGTATTTTTCGCAAGGAGGAGAGCCTTCAAAAACATTAGGCAATGCCCATGTTGCGGGTTTATGAAACCTTTATGAAACCTATGGGGCCAAAACAGCAGATAAGTAGCCTGTGTACTTTTTCCAACAACCGGCGTTTTGCTAAAAGCGACGGGACTCTCAGATGTGAACAGGTGCCATTGAAAACAATGTAAAACCTCTTAGCGTTGTAGTGCTCAGCCCTTTCAGCGACAACATGCCTAGGGGTGAATGGGGATTTACTCCCTTGAGACACGCTGCTTCTCTGCATGGGACAGGTAAATGGAGTACAATAACAAAAGAGGGCTCTGCTCATCTTTTAAAGAAGTTACTATACATAGAGTACAGATGGTGCCCATATTTAGTATTTATTCATTACTATTGATATACCATATGACAAAGTATACTTAAGTTTAATTAAAGTAGTAAACCCCATACTGGCTGTTCCTGGCAGCCTGAGACAGTTGGCTTAGGTGGCATCTCTTAGGGTCACATGCGGAGGTGGTGGTGGGGGGGGCGGTGTGCAAAGAGTCCCAGTTTGCTTAGAGCTCTTAGGAATCTATGACGCTCTGGCCAGCGTCCCACCCAGCTCCTGGCAACCAGTGACCTCAGAGAGCTGGGCAGGACACCGGATGGAGGTATCATGCTCCACCAGTCCACCAGTGACCTCAGAGAGCTGGGAGGGATACCAGATGGAGGTATCATGCTCCACCAGCCCACCTCCCATAAAATGCATCACTAGCCCAGTAACTTGCACCACCAGCAAACACCCAACCACAACCCCATGGCTGGTGTGCCGCCCCGCTCCTGGCAACCAGTGATGTCAATAGGCTAGGCGGGACACCGGATGGAGGTATCATGCTCCACCAGCCCACTCCCCCATAAAGTGCATCACTAGCAAACTCCCTGTGGAACTTGGTTGGTGACATCTTTGCCTACATACATTGAGGGGGATTTATCAAAACTGGAGCAGACAAAAACTGGAGCAGCCGAGCACGGGAACCAATTAGCATCTCTCTTTAATTTTCAAATCTTAACTGAACAAACTGAAGATAGAAGCTGATTGGTTGCCATGGACAACTGCTCCACATTTTTTGTCTTCTCCAGTTTTGATGAATCGCCCTCAATGTATGTAGGCAAAGGTGCCACCAACCAAGTTCCACAGGCCATGAAGAATTAAAATGCAAAAACTTGATATTTGCTTTTTTTACCACAAGTTCTGTATACCAGCTAACAAATTCAGAGGTTGGATGATGTTCTACTGTACACATCAAGCCAAAAACAGGGACAACTGAGGAGGAAAGAAGAACATGTTATCTCTCTTCTTGACTATTGCAACTCCCTCCTCATTGGCCGACCTCTTCACAGGCTCCTCCCTCCTTCAGTCTATCATGAATGCAGCTGATAGACTCATCAACCTAACCAACCGCTCAGTATCTGCAACCCCCCTCTGCCAATCCCTCCACTGGCTTCCAATAGCCCAAAGGATAAAATTCAAAATATTAACAATGACTTACAAAGCCATCCACAACTCCGCCCCCGTCTATATCTCCAACCTTGTCTCAAATTATCACCCAAACCGTCCGCTCCTCAAATGACCTTCTGCTTTCCAGCTCCCTCGTCAACTCCTCCCATGCTCGCCTCCAGGACTTCACTAGCGTCTCTTCCATCCTCTGGAACTCTTTACCCCAACCTGTCCGTCTGTCTCCCACTCTGTCTGCCTTTAGGTGATCCCTTAAGACTCATCTGTTCGGGGAAGACTATCCCACCTCAACCTAACCGCTCACCCCACACAGCCCCCTCCTCATGTATCACTTCCCCCTCCCTTTTAGATTGTAAGCCCTCAGGGGCAGGGCCATCCTTACCATCCTGTATTGAAATGATTTCAGCTAAGAGTGTGGAAGCATTCAAGAAACTCTTGGACGAGTTCCTCGGAGAGCATAACACACAGGGGTACAGGTACGCCTAAGAACAAGATCACACATGGAATCATGCACACACCAGCTCAAACATAAATGCATACACGCAATAGGTTGGACTTGATGGACTTACGTCTTTATTCAACCTCAAATACTATGTAACTATGTAACTATGTATTGTGATGTCTTCCCTATATTGTAAAGCGCTGCTCACACTGTTGGCGCTATATAAATCCTGTATAATAATAACATAGGGATCTGGTTCCATAAGCAAGACAGTCCTTCGAAAACGAGGGCTATAATTTTTAATACCTATACATAGTAACATTTGTTGTCATCCATCCGAAACAAAGTGCCTAAGCCTTCCGTCTCTTTTTGGGACTCACCTGTCTCTGGGTCACACATCTGCTCACAGGTGTCTATAGTCCTTTGGCCGCAGAGATCCCGCACCCACGGCGAGGTGGCGTTCACTTGATAGTAGAGAAACAGCTGGGCCGGGTTGACCCAGTTCGATATATCAAGATAGCTGCCCTCTGTGATCACGAAGCTGCTGCCTACAAATCAAAGAGATAAAAACTGTACAGATATAAACATTATCATATTGACATTATAACGAGTGAGATGTCTTATTCTGGTCGACCGTACGCAACATCAAATTTATGAAAGGGATCAATATTCCGGATCCCCGGGGACTACTAACGGCGTATTTTTTTCTGCAATTACACGTGGAAACCGCGGGCAGAATAATTATGAAGTTATTAGCATTTTAAAAAGCTCCGCGTGACATTTGTAAATCTAGGCTAAAAAAAAAAATTCTGATGAATGATATACAAGCCCTTTATTAATTTTCCTTTTATAAATGGCCTGTATGGTAAATAAAGAAACTTTATGTTATGAATGGAGACAAGGTCATTAAAGAAGAACTCCTTTAAAGGAGAACTATGGGGTCAGGGCTTTTCCCCATAGTTCTCCTTAGGGTAACGGGAAGACACAAACTAGCGTCCTCCCGTCACCCTAAACTCAGTATACTGCGAGCTACAGTTCGCGGTATACTGAGACGCCGCAGCCGGAGCGGATCCCGACATCGATGTCGAGATTCGCCCAGCTGCGTGAGTGACAGCTGGCTCTGCCTATCTAGCGGCAGAGCCAGCTGTACCCGCCGCCTCCCCCGTCTGTTCCGCCAGTCAGCGCTGGCAGATCGGAGCGGGGACGGGGGAATCCAGCCCCTCCCCTGTCACGGCAGAGAGCCATGACAGGATCGAGAGGTGAGTGAACGCCGGTATATGTTCGCTTACCTCCCGATCTACTGAGCCGATCTGTGACAGTCTCCTTGTCACAGGTCGGCTAGAACTATGAGGTGAGTGAAAAGCACGCACCTCATACTTCTCCTTTAATCCCTTAGAGACCGAGGCCCTTTTTTGTCGTTTTTTTGCACCCATGTTATAATCCACATTTTAGGCCTGAAAATTACTTAAAACCCCCCAAATATTATATATTTTCTAAAAGCCGAGACCCTGTAGAATAAAATGGCGGCAGTTGCAAATTTTTATGTTGCACGATATTAGCGCAACTCCTTATCAAACCCCAAAATTTTTGTGAAAAGTAAAGTGACATTCTGAAATTTAAAATGTAAACACAAAACGGTTTCATATTGTGCCCCAAAAAACAATACAATACCAATTTTTTAAAATAAAATATAAAAGACAAGGTTACAACGAGTACATAGATTCCCAACGTGCCCGGGTTAAAAACTCTGTGCGTCCGTGAAACGGCGACAGAATTCAGTACCCCAAAAAGTCCATAGGCGGCACTTTAAAAGCCCCCCACAGGTCATCAGTTTAGAGATATGTGTAATTATTGGCCCTGGAATTATTGCTCTTGCTCCGGCGTGCGCGGCGTTGTTTTCTTACGTAGGCGCACCCGACGTGTGTTTACATAAAGATGTGCGCGCTCTCAGGGAAGGGGGAATTTAAAAATTTTAAAAAAATAATTTTTACATTTATTTTATTTAATTGTATTCTAAAAAATTGTTATTTTTAATTTTTTTTTTACTTTAATTGCTATCACAAAAGGGGGGAACCCCCCCCCTAGCCAAAGAGTATTTTTTAATTGAGCTTTCCGTAACCAAAAAGGATAAACCTGTGAAATATATTCCGCATTACAACCACCCCGGAGAAGGAATGCTTTATGGACTCATATAACATGACAGTCCGGCGCGTGGAGGAATAATGGGCAATCGTTAAAAATAATTGCATAGAAAATGCTTAAGACAGGAGAGGCTGATTACCTCCATCGCCAGCCGCGTTTTCGCCGCACCTAGCCTCAAACAACGGCTTTTATGTGTACCTGCAGCATTCCGGTTTTATTTCCGGGTAAATACCTCCAGGAACGCGTAGTTATCCTTCTATTGTTGTATCGCTGAGCATTTCCCTTCAACAGAACCTCAGCGAGTCGCCGCGCCGCTGAATATAACGAGATTTCTGTCTGCGAGGTTTATATCTTTATTAGATATTTACAATATGCTAACAAGGGCCGTGTACAGCACAGTGGCATAGTGGTGAGGACTTCTGGCAGGGATGGGGGTCCCCGGTTCGAATCCCGGTCAGGGCTAAGGTTGCCATCTTTCTTCAAACAAGACCCTAGCAGAACGGGCAGACCATGTTCCATCTGCGCTCCCCCCCCC